TTTAAATTAATTTTTATCCTTCAGACGTCTAATAAGTTTAACACAAATTAAAAATAAAAATCACATCTGTGTGTGTTCTCAGCACAAACATCACTTGTTCGCGAAAAAATCTTTGCCCTGAACTAAATCCGTGAGCCAAATTATTAACAGCTGTGTACAGAAAGCATATCTGATAGACCAAATAAATAATTTAAAGACAAAATGACATCTTTGTGAAAAAAAAACCACACTGGGTTCATACTGTGTGTCATCTATTAAAAACTGAGCAGCACGAGTAGAAATGTTGATAAATCAGAGATTTTTTTTTAAACAGATTTCATGAATTTCACATCAACATGCGGCAGAAAACCAATTACGCACTAATTTGATTTCAGCCAGTAGGATTCTAACATGGCAGCTGAATGTTAAAGCGTTGTGCGGCCAATATTAGTAAGAAGACGTTTAACAGAATTCTTCAAACAAAGTGCCGACTATTAGCTCGACGTTAATCTGCTCTGGACGCTAATTCCCCAACAAACGAAGAAAGGAACGTCGTTTTTGAGAAACTGCAACGGGTGTTCAAGTTAAGGGTTGCCTTCAAATTACCCTTAAATGATCGTTGATGGTTCACGATCACCGGCTCACTCATGGCTGACTCCTAACAACTGATAATCTCGTTAATATTCCTCCTGTCGAGGGGCGGGACGTATGAGGCAACACAGTTGGCAGCATGAGGATCTGAGTGACTTTGACAAAGGCCAAATTGTGAACAACTGGGTCAGTGAGGTGGTTAAAGGATGGACTACTGGTGAATGTTGGGGGGTAAAGGCTGGCCCATGCAGTCTGATTATACAGAACTATTCACAATAGAAAGGTGTTGGAGTGCATCACCGCTTGCTTCATAAGGAGCTGTGTGACCTGGTCTCATAAATCATGTTTTCTTCTACACCGTGTGTTCAGCCGGGTGTGTTGTTCTTCTGGTGAAGAGATGCCAACAGGATGTAGTACAGGCAGAAGACGAAATGGTGGAGGCAGCGTGACGCTCTGGTTAATGTTCTAGAAACCTTGAGACCTGTGGATGTTACTGTGACATAGAACCCACTACCTACCTAAACATTGCTGCAGACTAAGTTCACCCCTCCATGGCGACAGTATTTCCCGTCCTGCAGTGACCTTTATGAGCAGAATAATGCACATAAGGTATTGTTCAGGAATGATTTCAGGAACGACTCGGCCACTGAAATCCACAGATGTCAATCTGATCAAGTATTTGTATGATGTGATGGAAAAACGTTGCAACTTCCGTCCATCCATCCATCATCAATACCCTGCTTTATCCTCTGTAGGGTCAACGGGGGGATGGAGTCTATCCCAGCTGACTCAGGATGAAGGCAGACAGACAACCAAGCACACTCACATGGACACCTCCAATAATTTAGAATCACTAATGAACCTCAGCACGAACTTTTCAGTTGTGAGTAGACACTTGCTAACCACTGTGCCGCCCCCAACTGCAACTTTTAGGGCTTAAAGATGACCTGATGGGCGTCCCTACAGCTCACCTAGCTGAGCGGGTGACCCATGAACAGGGGCTATAGTTCCCCGATGCAGCGGTTGTGAGTTTGACTCCTGCTCACGACCCTTTGCTGCAGGTCTCTCCCCATTTCCTGTCTATCTCTACTGCCCTCATACCACAGGAGTCCTTCAGAGGTCTGTGGTGTTCATGCTTTGACAGGTCAGAGGTGTTTTGGTACCTACACAACATTAATCACGTGGCCGGCTGAATGCTCATAAACCAGAGTCCTTGCTGCTCCTTCAATTCCATCACAGTCTTTTCTTCGACTCTATCTGTGCACCAGTTTGCTGTAGATGTCTGGCTTCTTGTTGTGTCTCTGATTAAACCTCGGCTCCGTGTTGTGGCGAACCAGTGCTTTACCAACACGGCACACAGGCTGGCGGAGCGGCCTGGGGAATGGACTGACAGAGACGGGGATTTATACCAACTTGAAAGTTGCCTGGCGCCGGGCCAAACAAAACTTTGACAACACCACAAAGACGCCCGCAGATAATTCAGACACGGATGTCGTCATCGGAGGTATCTGGAGATATTTCGTAGCCTGAGGCGTGTTGATGTTGACTCTAGTTTTACTGGTATTTTTTAACAAAAAGACACCGAGCAAACATTGCTCTCAGTTTGTACGAGGAACACTGAACACAGAGCCAGTTTATGTCGGTTCATTCACACAGTGACCAGACGTACAGGCCGTATACACTCGCAGGCATTCAATCTCCAGCCTGCGACACTTAATATCCAACGCGTGTATCCAGCAATCCAAAGGCTCAGTTCGTCCCAACAAACTGCACACCTGGCTGAACCCTAAATATGAAACACATTATCATGATATTACTTGTGGGTGCCTGCAGTATTAAACCGAGATGGAGCCTGTGCAGAGGAGAGGCAGAACATACATCTTTATCTGTGTCCACTTACAAAAGGTTATCTTTCATATTGCTCAAATGTTACCTGATAAATGTCCTGGTAACTCTCAATATTTCCACTGCGGGTGGCACATTTGTCATCGTTGAGATGGCGGGCAGAGTAGGGCACAGATGGGAACTCCTCCCTCACAGTGGCGTTGACGTATGAGCCGCGGGTCGAACCAGACGAGCAAATGTGATTGATAACCCCCGTGTGGCTGGATCTTAACCAGCGAGAGGGCGAGCTCACGAGCAGGGATGGGACCTAATGAACTACAACAGACTACACAGGCAAAGTTACACAGAGCTGAAATCACAACCAAACAAAGCATATTTTTTGAAATCTTTCCTAAATTGAATCAGACTTCCTGTCTCATGTAAACCATTACAGTAAATCTATTGATTAAATTTGCATGTAAACAGCTTTGTAAAGGTATTGGTGTGGTAACAAAGTACACAGCAGCACACTTGAAGCTCTTAAAACGCAGTTAAAGGAAGCACACATAATTGTTTAATTATGGTGATTTTCCTCTCTGGAGGATGTTCAAGTCAATCACAATCATTAACCTGCCATTGTTACATCTGCACATTTCTAGCTCTGTTAAATCAGCTGCATCATCACACGGAGGTTAAAACGGGACCGCGTGATGCTTTCATGTTAAGTGTTCGTCGTCGTTTAATGAAATTCAATCAGCTTTATTGGCCGAGTGTGTGCACAAGTACTTAAACACACACATAAAACCACACATGCATTTAAACAAAGACAACAGGTTGTAGATAAATGTTTAACCCAAACTGTGCTGAACATAACAATAAATACAGGGTCGTTAGTGCTTTATGTACACGAGGTAGTGATTTAAATCAGTCACATGATGAATGAATGAAATTAAATGAAAGAATGAATGAAAAATACTTTATTTATCCCAGAAGGGAAGTTCAATTTGATGGCTTTACCAAAACAATTTGGAGCACAAAGGTTAAGGCGCGCTTGATTTGCTCACCAAGAACGATATTATTTCATGCACTAATTACACTGGGTTACAAAAAAATAATTTTCTGAAGGTGTCTAGGATTGTTTTAACTGATTTAGGACACTTTTTTTGCAACGCTGAATCCAAAAATGACATCTGCCTTTCTGTATCAGGTCAGGTTTTTATGCCAACTCGATTACAAAAAAAAACAAATCAATTTTACCACAAAGTCAATCACATTTTTTGACATTAACGATTGATTTAATTTAGTATTTCTCATATGAAATTGGATTTTAGAGGAAAAATGTCATTTTCTAATCCTAAATGATCCAAAAGTTGATGAGCGTAAACATTTGTAAAGGTAAATACAAGCAAATTACATGTTTCATCAAATCAAAATTTGGACTTCATTGAGCAAAACCAATGTCATATTTGGATTCAGCACATTGTGATTGTCCAAAATCATCTCAAAAAACTTTGACACCAAATTGGGTGTAGACCAGTGTTATACCTACTTCGTGGCCACAATAAAGCTAATTCGTTCCCACGTCATAGCTTTATTGTGGCCATGATTTAATTCTATTTTGATGTCTGGGGCTCTGTAATTTCCTAATAATTTAAAATTTAAATGTGGCCACGTTTTGCTGATGAATACTGAGATAACCTAAAGATCAATAACGACCCGTAAAGAGAAATCTACAAATATAAATATGTTATATTTGTGTTTTTAGCCTGCAATCTTTTGGTTCTCTTTTTAACGTCCCGCCCACATTCCAGTTTATTTAAGCACAAAAACCTCTATTAGTACAGTTGGTGCATTATCAGGCTCTGTTCCCCTGATCTGAGCAGAACACAGACTCACCACCACCGTAGTTTATCTGAGGACGGTTCATGTGTTACTTTGTGTGGGCAAACTGTGAAGAACTGCCTTTTTTTTTCTTTTTTAGCTAAAACATAAAAAGATGCAACTGCAAAGGATCCCATGCATTGTAAAGACTGTCTCCCTTCCAACAAGCTTCCAGGTGGTACAAACCTGATTAAGCATCACAGATACGAGCAGCCATTCGGAGCAAATTCATGCTTTTTTCCCTCTTTTAACATCAGACGTCTCAAACTTTCCCTGTGATTGACATGCACCCAGCACACTTCCAGTATTGCTTATACCCAAAGAGGACAAAAACCAATTTTATCTCCAAATTTTCAGATATTACGGCTGCTGAAGGGAGAAGCCCCCTCCCCCTCCAAGGTTTACTCTCTATAATGACACAGATGGGGCCAGCCAGGGATTGTAAAGGTAAGCTAACCCAGTCCCAGCAATTTCCCACAGACTGCAGTCTGTTTGCTTTGTTTGCTGTCTCTTCAGGACTGTGTTTTTTTCCCCCCACTGTTTTGACAACCTACCATCTGCTGCAGGGCCAATCTCGATCTCATATACCTTCCCCAGTCTGTATTTACTCGGCAGACAGGACTTTAAGTTTGGGACTAAAGATAATCAGTTATGATGGTCTGAAGCGTTCCCACAAATGGTGACATGTGTTTGAGGCTGTGATTGGAAGAAAAACACGACAAAAGTTATTTTATTAAAATATTTTATTGAGGAATAAAAGAATAGAAGAAGACAACGCCTGACGACCACCACCTGAAATTCAGTCAAACACGGTAGAAATCAATGTAAAGGGACGTTTAAAAGGCTCCAAAATAGCACAGCTTTACACAAACAGTTCAGAGTCAATGAGACACGGTGAGCTACAGAGACACAGCGCGCTACTCGGTCCTTTTAAATTTAGACTACAATACACGTCGAGGTGCTCCAGTTGTGCCACAATAACTACAATTCAACTGGCCGCATTCGCTTATTTTTCCTCCAAAGGATATGCAGAATAAGGATACAAATGGTTCTGCTGGGCCACAATATCAAGCCTTGGCATCTTGAATAGATAAAGTGTAAACAAAAGGTTGTGAAAAAAACAACACCATTACAAAGATTGTAAGGCTTGTTCTATACACACACACAGATGCTGGTCATTTTTAATTTAACCCTAAACGCTTCACTCACCTGTTGAGCTCATCGCTGTTTCGGTCCTCTCTTGGTTTCTGTGGGGTCCTGTTTGGGTCTTGCAGATCTGGCAAATTGCTGTGAGTCTATAGTTAAGGTTGCTAATTATGTCCATTTAACAGAATCCTAAGAATCCTTCATCTGGTGTCATTATCAAAATGTTTGACAACTAAAACCTTTCCTTCAGCTCATTTAACACACAAATCATGCCTTAGAAAACACACACCAAATGCATTTTACTCCCCCAAACTTCCAGCGAGCAGCTTTCAGCCACGCCGGCCCTCCTCCTCGTGACTCTCAATGCCTCGTATGAATTTAATTTGAGAAAAGGTCGCAGGTGTTTGTTCATAAATGCCAGAAGACTACTGGCCAGAATTGACCTTATAAGAGCGCGGGTCTCCTGCTTTCCTGAGGTTGCCTCACTTACTCAGTGACAGCTTCTGCCAGTCACAGGTTGATGAAGTGTTTGGCTCACAGACGGGTTAAATAAAGAAAGGAGGAGTCAGATGTGCTGCTGTCTGTTAATGAAGCCCACGCTTTAATCCACTTACATTTCTCGCAGGTTGTTCTTCCAGCTCACTAATTTTTGTAGCAAGCTGTTGGAGGACTCGCCGGCGAGTGCCAGACTGCACTCTGAGGGAAGCAGTGAAGAAATCATGATGAGAGAATTTAGTCTGGCCTACATCTGTACCAGAATGAACCTCGCTCGACTCTCTGATGTTCCAAATAGACCGAAATAACAATCCAACTTACAAAATGTGCTTATGCTTTCCTTTTACAACTCTTTTAGGCAGTTTAAGAAACAGCTGGCAGACTAAAGGAACAATACAACATTTTAGAAAACACACTTCGATGAGAAGGTTGATGCCAATCTGACTCCTGCTCAGTAAAAACATAGCTGGAGCTAGCTTAGCTTAGCTTAGCATAGCTTAGCAGAGACACAGAAAATCAAGCTTTCCAACCCAACATTGGTACCTGGATGGATCCTAGCTAGCTGTTCACTATGCTAAGCTAAGCTAAGCTAATCATCTGCTGGCTCCAGCTTCATATTTGTGACCATAGAGACATGAAAAAAGATCCTTTCTACCAGCAAGTGCATTCCTAAAATGCTAGTTTATTGCTTTAATGGGCAACACACAGTGAAAAGGTTCTAACAAACCAGAAGACAAAAAGGTGGGTTTCTAAAGGCCAATTCTGAGCCACAAGGTTACCACACAACCCTAAAGTCTAAAAATGAAAAACTACCACAATCCAGATAGTAAAACTGCCCATACAGTGACTACATCTCCAGAAATATAAAGGAAATAGAAATATTTTTGCAACGCAGCAGTTCTCAGTGATAGACTTGCTGAACTACCGTCTGAGCCCTGTCATTGTTACCGTACCTGCAACGCAGCTAAACGCGAGACAACACCACAAATAAATGAGACGGCAGACATCTCTGTTCGCTCCTCCAGCCCAAAGACTAATACGCTGTCGCCGAGCTAATTGGCTACGGGACGCGCATTAAAACACCGTCAAAATCAATAGCCTTGTTCCATTAGACAAGTTCAAAAGTTGATGCACAATTATCTGTGTTGAGAGGAGGAAGAGCAGGTGGTGGTTCAGAGCTGCCAGAAATTAGTCCCCGTCCTCCTGAAGGCACCGAGGGCCAAAGCCAGGAACACATCTGTGCAGAGGAGGGTAATAAACCCAAACACACATCCCCTCTTAGCCGGCCTTTAACATCCACGCAGGTATATGTCTGCTCAGGTTTATGTCATAACTGCCTCCAGGGGGTTATTTTCTCCTCTGCCTTTGTTGCCGCTGAGGTATTTTTCCCATACAGCATAAATTAAGCATCTAAAACGAATCATTTTATCATGAGATGTATCTGTCATCTAAAAATAACCACTGTTTCTGTTTTCAGTGGTTTAAAATATAGTAAATGAATCTCTACCTTCACACACCAATTAACTAAATGTCACCAAACACACACACAGCCTGGATTCACACTCCTTACAAAAACCCTCGTCCTTGTTTCGTTTTGTGAGAGCGGATAAAAGGATACGACAACGAGGGGTTTGTCGTAGAGAACGTAGCCGTTGGTGTCCCGCAGGGCTTTCTCTGCACTCTGCTCGCTGGGGAGTCCTACGAAGGCCTGCCCTTTCATCCGGCCCTCCTTCATTAACACAATGTCAAACCTGAGGAGCCAAGCAAAGCGGGGGACACACATCATTATCACTCCGAGCCCGTGGCCTGGCCGAGTCAGCGTAAAAACCCTGGAAAATATCATCGGATTCTTGCAGCGACCTGCGTGTTTCTATTACAACCAGCTGGATTTCACTGAGCAGCAATTAAAAGCAAAAGAAAAAGAAACGAGGGGGGCTAATAGTACAGCTAACGGTTAGCTAACAGGACGGCATCACGTTGGAGGAAACGTCACAGGAGGGTTGGTGTGAAAAAAACGTTTGGCGCAAATTTCTTCCTCATTTCTTCTCATTTGGAAACATCTGGTAAGCAGTGGGAGAGAAAGTGTAGCTAACCACATCATTACTTTATGGCTGACAAAATCAACATAAATACACGGTAATGACAACAGCTGCGTGATCAGCAGCACTAACATTTAAAATACGTGATCGCAGGAGAAATTTCTCTTTAACTTTGCCGCCACACAGCTGACTCTGACTGCACACTCACACATATACAGCTGGTTGCTCTGCCAAGTGACAGCTCTTTTCAACCTCTATTTAGCATCCCCTCTATCTACCCCGCCCTCCCCTCCGCTCTCTGCTATCAGCTTTGTTGTGGTTGTTGATCTCGTGATAAAGTTGTTCTCATCACGTATTTTTCTGTTTCTGTTATCAGACAACTGTGTGAAATACATTATGAGAAATGAAGGGATTGCACCGACTGGTGGATGTGCATCCAGAAAGGTGGAGTTTTTTAATTTCTAGTTGTGCATGTGTGCAGTGGACGGTTGTATTCTAGCCCAGAACACTAGGAATTAAAACAAAATGGCCCATTTTGGTTTTCCAGCACATGCACATTACAACAACATACGAGGGGAGGTCAAAAAGGTAAATACAGTCGTGACTTGATAATCCGATGCTAAATGTAAAACCTTCTTTTATGTCGGATTGTCCAGACGGAGGTCCAGATACAAGGAGGACTTGATGCTGGAAGGCTCATTAGTTGTTAATTAGTTGTTATAATAACTAGTAGGGCTGGTCCCAGTAACACTTTCTGCTCTCTGGATATTCAGGCCCAATTAATGATGAATATCAGAATATCCAACGCAGTCGGGGGACACTTCCACCCCTGGGCAGCGCTCTGACGGGGTGGAAGTGTCCAGAACACACAGGCAGTACTTGGCTGCTGATGCTAGTTTAGTTAGCGCTCACACTTCTGTTTCCTCCATCGGTGGCGGTGGGGGAGTGGCAGATACGCTCCACCGTTACCATCCATGTTTACTTCCGTAAACACTGAGCACGCTCGCTGCGTGTGACGTCGTCGTGTCCTCTTCTGCGCATGCGGGACACTTTTGGGTCGTATGAAGTTCACACAGCAGATCACATACAAGTCGCATTGAACTGGAAATGTGAAGGAAGTCACAAAGAAATCCTCATTGAGCATCAAGTCCTGCAGTGTGAACGTAGCCAATCTGTGGGATTGTTCAGTCAGATAATACGCCGTCATCCTGATTTGTCAGTAAAGGGACATAAATATTGGACTCGCCTCATCTTGCTATCAGAAAGTGCTCTACATACTCCACGTTTTCATCTTAAACCAGACAAATCCAATGTGTTTTAGCTCGGCTTGTTACATCATTTATGTCGTTTTTATTTCCTACTTGTAATTTTACTTCTATTTTAAAAATGCCTCTGACGGCATCACTTCCATCGCTCGGACTCAGCGGACCCTCACACACTCTTGGATACAGAAACTGGAACACTAGCCAAAGCGATACGACGCTGGCTCATTTGTTCTGCCTGTTAACCGGCACACGGTCTCAAGTGATGTTTCCCAATGTCATGTGTCAGAATTACCATAAATACAGGTTAATGACGGCCGCTGTGCTGTGTGTTCAGCTGTATTGACGTACATTCTCTCGTGCTTGTACAGTTTTCTTACTACGTTAGCCAGCGGTTTAAGATTTCTCCACTCTGGAGTGTTTTGGAAAAGTATTTTTTGAGTGTGAAAAAAAAAAAAAAAAGTAGGTTTAATGTGGACGGAGGGCCGAAACAAGATAAACAGGTTTAATATGAATGTGCTCTCGGTTAAAACTCAGTCCCTGAATACGAGAAGCCGGAGCATCTCAGACGTTATTTTCACATATTTATTAATTTAAATCATTTTTTATCTTTCGCATTTATTTGTTTTCCGCACCATAAAAACTATTAAACGCTGACCTTAAGACCTATGCAGCCATAAATTTTGCATATTATTGCACCTCCGTCAGCAACTCTTCCGCTGCCCGAAATGAGAATCTGCCGTCTTTTGGATCGCAATAGGACACCTGAGGTCCGGTAGCGTACAAGTTAGAACTTCTCGGAGCATTAAGACCGGCGTTCTTAATCACAAACGTGTCACTAAGAAACTGCGCTGACCCGTAAGCGGTTAAAAAAAAAAACAAAAAAAAAAGCGGCACAATTTAGAAGCAGGTCACCGAAGGACAAAGCGATCCCCCGGCAGAGTCGTAGCTTCCTGTTTATCACCTACATCTGTGTTCAGAGTCTGGCCTCGACATCAGCTCAGTTTGATGACTCAGGTGGAATGTTTATTTGAAGTACTGCTGATGCACAAACATAAAAACGTCCCTCATGATCTCTACATCAGTTTAGATACTTATTAATAACACAAGACGCAGTCAGCATGAATTACTAAAAACTCTCAGGAGAAAGCGACAAATTGCTCGAGTCGAAAATAGCTCGCGAGGAAGAAGAAGAAGACGATGGGGCGAAGCGACGCCGATAACAGACAGGGATTAGCCGGGTTGCTGTTTACGTACATGTTCCTCTCGGCTTCTGACGAAGGGTCGATGTATCGTCCGTAGATGTACTTCAGGTCCTGGAAGGCAAATAACGAGTCAGTGAAGCACATTTATATATGAAGATTATCACGATCGCATCTTGGATAAAACTGTAAACTGGGAAATTCAGTCAGTAATAAATAAACACAAACTCCAGATTAAGCATGGCTATAAACAGACCCTACCTTCTCCTCCACTTGCTTTGCAATGTTCTTCACGTACAGTCTGCAGGTTGGCTCGCCCGGTTCATAATTTTTAAACACAGACATCCTTTTTATCTCTGTTTTAAAAGAGAGAGAGAGGGAGAGGGAGAGGAAAAAAAACGTGATGCAAGGTGAATTTCAAAAACAGCTACAAAGGATCACAGAGCTGCCCATACCAACATTAAAATAAATTCAAAGTCACTGCAACTCAATACCATCCACTCCATGTTTTATTTAAAAAGAGGACGGAGGAAGGAGTCGGCTGCGAGCGATGATTGCATGTCTGATCTCCTGAGCGCCTCCCATGCGGTGTGTTTTAGACATCGCTTGGATGTAAAGTTGTCTCAGCTGCTGTATTTGTATGGAAAACATGCCTGACCAATGTGTGTCAGAGGAGAAGAATTACCGAGTGAGCGATGGAGGGGGATGCTTCTCTGTCATGTCAAGGAGACGCCAAACTAATATTTTTTCCCACATTTCAAGTTATTTCGTTTAGATCTACATTACAGGAACACATTAGAAATAAAACTGTTCTCAAATGTGAATTCAGGTCTTCCTAGCTTGTGAGCTAAGAGGCAGATAGAAGACATGTTTCTGGCCACTTGGCAATAAGTTCAGTATTTATATTTAGCCGCTAAACGCTGCGCTATGTTCATCAGTCACTGGCTGACACTGTCTGTTTGCTTGTTTCCAGGCTGGGCATTAGGCATATCTATCCAAACTTGTTTTTGCTAAAAATTGCTTTTGGAAGACGATGCCGATAGGAGCAGTGATTCGGTTCCAAACAGTAAAGAAATGAGCTCAAACATGTCCCCGTAAAGCCGATCAGAACAGCAGACTAGAGGGATGGTTCCCTACGGGTTAGTCATGGCGTGTTGTCATTAAGCTGTTTGCCAGCTCAGTAATTTGCAGGCTGTTGGAGGGCGTGTTTGTGCTACGACCCTAAGAACTGCCCCTGAAGAACCACTTTGAGGACCGGGAGATAGAAGGTAAGCTGTCCACGGTAGGTGTGGTCCTGAAGAACCGCTGGGAGGGACTGGATGCTAACTGGTTAAACACGAAGAAGACACTGTTCCTGTCAAGTCTTTTCCTTTAAGGTAAAATTCACCATATAGACTAACATATCAAACCCTCCATTGTTCTGCTTCCTCGTGGAACTGGAGGTACGTCCAGGATCTACTACGTGTCATTGCATTTGGAGCGAGCACCACTGTCGAAGCTGCCGATACAAACAGAAAAGCTGATTACGGGGCTCTTCCTGTACACGCTACCTTGAGTCTTCCCCGACTTCCTGCAGAAGGAAGTCACATATTGGATTTATTGCTAATATAAAAATATTGATTACAGTGACTGAAACTCATCCCTGTATCTAACTGGTATTCTACAGCATCAAAGGAAGTAACTGACAACTGCAATTATACTGACCTACAGTCGTCCTCAAATGTATTCATCCATTAAAGAAAAGCCAAAACTCACAATAGTCACTCAAATAACTCAAAACTGAACAAAGAAATAATAAATAAAAATTTATTAAATTGCAATTTAGTGAAACAAGACATTGCTTTTCAATTGTGGTTGAAAAGAATAATTTTAAAAAAACAAAAACTGTAGTGCAGTGATTGACTCAAAGGGTTGTTCAACTAAATATTAGTGTACAGGTCCCATCATGCTTGTTTTTATTTATTTCTTATTCTTTTATTAAATATTTCTGTTGAACCACAATTCAAAAGCAATGTCATGGTTTTCATTACATTTTTTTTTGTTTATTATTACTTTTGTCAGTTGACCTCCTTTATTGTCTTTTAATTGTCTTCTTTTACTGGGTTTTATTTTTCTTATATATTTTTATATTGTTTTATTGTCTTTCATGCTTTATGTGTTTCACCTTCACCATTTTTTATTTATGTATTTTTTTGCTTTTCACTTCCTTTAATGTTGTTTAATGTTGTTTTCTTACACTTCTCTTTGAATCTGTACAGCACTTTGTAACCCTGTTTTGAAAAGTGCCATATAAATAAAGTTTATTATTATTATCTGTTTTTTTCCTCCTTTATTGGGAGGTATGAATATACACCTCTGCACCAGGTTTTACGTAATATTGACGTCGTTATTATTTACTACATATCTAAGAGGTGGGAACCTTTACAGTCAAGACAAATCTTCCAGTCGGGATCATGTTCCTCCACACCCCAGAGCGATCCCGTCTAGTTTGACATAATGATTCACAACCGTCGTACGTTTGGTGACAAGCGGTCACTGCTTTGCTTAGAGAGTCACTCCAGGTTAGCGGCTCATTACAGAAGGCCACTGACAATCCCACAAGAACAACAATCTTCTCCATCTTCCCTCAGTTCTCGTCATTACGGAGGCATCTCAGAAAGGTAACGCTGACGTAACATATTTACCACCACGAGCTCCTCTTCCTCCGAGGGATTTATCAGTTTGATTTTTCACAGTTTGCACTTTTTTTTTTTTTGTTGTTTCACCACAAAGCCTCCCAACTAACTGCCAGTTTACTCTAATATGCATTTCAAACAAACTGCTGCCTCTCCTCCACTTGCACCACTTCTAAACAGAACAGGGTTTGCGGGAGAGAGCTACAGCTGTTTAAAAAGCAAAATAAGAAAGATTTGTGGACCTTGATATGGTTTCCGTTGAACAGTATCAATCAGCGTTATGCAGCAGCAAGAGAAAAGGCTTCTACGTACGAGGAAGGGTGGAAATTGTTATTCCGAGCATGTGCCTAACCTGAAAATTATTCCTCCCAGCTTTTTCAGTGGCTTTTATTGATTTGAGAAACTTGTAAGGTCAGGTTTTTTTCTCTTTTCTCTGTCTCTAATCACCAGTTTGTGACAAGCTCTGTTGATGTTCAGACCGAGGACCTTCCCCGCTGTGAGTCGGCGGCGGGCGCCCACCGAGTCGCCCGTATAGGTTATATTTACCATCTCTCGACAGCCGTCCCTTTTCCAGCTCCTTCCTAGAGATGATGCCCGACGTGAGGTCCTGCTCGTCGTCGCTCTGCTCCTCCTGCTGCTGGGACGTCTGGGCGCTGGGGTAAAGCTTCCCGAAACCTTCCGCCTCCAACGCCTCCTCGCTGCTGCCGGGGGCGACCTCGCCCTCATCTGCTCGGATCGAGGATCAGAAGGTGCAAAATGCAGTTATCAGAATTGTTACTACATTAATTCAGCGTGTATTTCGTATTGTGTGCCACCAAGTCGGATCTGCCTGATTGCTTTATGATATGAAACAGAAGGGGACACTCTCCCTCCAGCACAATGGAAGTTTTCAAAGAGTCTACCAATGGCAGATGGCGAAATAATCACTTCCAAAATGTTTATCCTCTTCAGTAAACAACACGAGCTCAGGATGAGAGAGTGGAAGCAAATCCTCTTGGTCACAATTAGTTTAACATATTGGTATTTAGAATTCCTCGCTGTGGAATCAGTAGAATGTGAGTGAATTAAAATGAATAAATAATGAACAAAGCGAGAATGAGTGGCACCGATAGACAGCCACCAAAGTGAACCAGAAGCACATTCAGCCTATTTCAAATAAAGAACTGTAATCAAAATCCACTCCTGTTTTGCAAACATGAGTTTGAAAAGCAGTGGGAAGGATAACTCTTTTGAAGAGCGCATGAATGCGCGCACACATGTTGTAGATGGAATTACTAAGAGCAGTGAGCCTGTACAAATCCGAGGAGGAAAATAAAAGCTTGTCATCCACATAAGGTGTATGTGTGTGTGCACCGGAGCACGAAGTGTTGGGGAGCTTTTCCGCTCTCTGCAGAGAACTAGATCACTGCTTTCAAAATTATCCTCCTCCTTATCTGTCCCCCCACCTCCCCTTTTCATTTAAATAGCTTGTTTATCGGATCCCACACCCCCACTTCCCCAAAACAAGACTAATCCAAAAAGCCACCTGTCATAGTTTATCTTTCCCCTGCCTTTAGGAAATCTTTTGTGTGTGACTTTGAGATCTATTTTACTTCTCAGAGACTTGCCAGGCAGTGAAGTTGTAGCTAGAGAGAAGGGAGATAAGGCAAACGGGGAAGTGCACAGCTGACAAGTAACACAGACTGTGCCCTCAATGACATTTGCTCATACAGATAATGGTAAAACCTTTCTGGTGCAAGTTTCCGCTGTGATATAGTGCTGTGCAACACTTGGCTTCGACTTCACCCACAGTGAGAGCTTTAACTTCTGTCAATACGAGTATCAAACCACCTCCTGCTTCAACGTGATAATAAACATGATGTATGGTAATAATCAAACCCTTAGAGTGCCTTTGCTGCACATAAGAGCAGTCGAGCCCCTTTATATATGGATTCCTCGGCTGACTTTGCAGGCGCCAGCGTTGGTCAGACGTGTGTTTACTGGCCGGCCATAAAAGTAGGATTCTTTTGTATTACTTAATACAACTTACATGTAGACGCATTTCATTAATGCCGTACATGTGTGGAAGTGGGTGTTTGAGGGCATCTCATGAGAAACCCCACAATGAAGCTGTAACTCCATTACACAGGGAGTTCAGAATTTATCAAGTATCTCAGAATCACTCGACAGTAGATTAACAAGCATTAAAATGGTCAAAATAAATAAACATCCTAAAGCTCATAATGGAGACATTTGCAAACAAACAGTGGCAAGTACATAAAAAACTAAAAGCACAACCATCCATCATCTATACACCATTTAATCCTCACTATGGGGGGCTGGAGTCTATCCAGCTGACTCAGGGTGAAGGCAGGTTCACCTGGACAGGTAACCAGTCTATCACAGGGCTACACTTAGAGACAGACAACCAAGCACACTCACATTCACACCTACGGACTATTTACAATCACCAATTAACCTCAACATGTTTCTGGACTGTGGGAGGAAGCCGGAGAACCTGGAGAGAACCCACGCTGCACGCTGGGGAGAACATGGAGACTCCACGCAGAAAGATCCCGGGTGTCCTCACCAGGACGTGAACCGGCGACCTTCTAGCTGCGAGGCAACAGTGCTACCCATCAAGACACCTTGCAGTCCTAAATAAAAGTGCAAATCCCTCCGAATAATCACAGTCTGATGGTTTGTTTGTTGCATATCTTTCAACCCTGTTGTCTTGAAGGCTGGTGGTGAGGACGTTCCCTTCCTTAGCTTCTACAGGTGTAACGTGCTCAGTGAGGACGTACAACACTTCAGCTACCATGTAGGAAAAAAAGTCTCACTATTAAAACCAATTGCAAAACACATTTGCTGGTTTGGGGGAAAAAAAATCCACATTTCACTACTTGGACGTCAAGAAGCTGTAATGCTCACCCACTTGTTTACACAAGGCGATCTTCTAGCTGCGAGGCAACGCTGCTAAACACTGAGCCACTCTGCAGCCCAGAAGCACAACTAGATCATTTAAAATTGATCATTTTACTTTGATCCATATCGACTTTTATTTCAAAATACTAAAAGGCTACACACACAAAAAAACCCACAAAATTATACTGGTGCAAGCCTTCCATAGTTGATGCATCATTTCTCTGCAGAAAACAGCTTCTTGTCTGACTTTCTTTTCAAACGTTAGATAATTTTGGTTGGGTTCAGGTTCCAGGTTCTCCTTTCGGTGACGCTGCTGTGGTTGAAACACTCAAACAGAGAGAAAGCAGCAAAGCGTTCACTGTTTAACTACGCCTTGTCTTAAACTGCGTCCTTACGGCGAGGACGTTAATTTACTTCTGTAATGTTACCCAGTGCAAAGAAACACACGGTGGTGCAATATAAACATTATCTGTTAAGTGCAGCTCCACCACTGGTAAAACAAATGAAGAAGATTTAAATGTGTATCTGTGCAACTTGTTTTACATAACTTAACGATGAGAGGTGGGGGAATGAAAACCTGAATCTGGGTAGTTTTATGAGCAATCCCGAGTTATCGGTTGTAACAGAAAGTGTGTTTTCTCTGTTAGCATACCTCCTGCATCGAGGGCCTCTTTGCATAGAGAGCATTTGATCCTGTGCATCCTGAACAAGCTGGGTACATACATATCAATACATATGTCTCCTTGATTATGAAACAGGTAGAATAAATTAAAACCAGAGTCCTTGTGCTAGAAGTCAGACCAAAAACGCATCCGCAGAAAGACTTCATTTTACTCATAACTAGCTCTAAAATAAGAAATTGATCAGTCAATCAAGAGTAGAACCAACAACAATCTTGTTAACGAGGACATTCGATTCATTTCCTACTTGTGTGAACTTGCTGTCTTTACCCTTCAAATGGTGATTGTGCTCCCGTTCAACACGCTGATTTCATCAACAACAATCAATTAACAAGCCTGATTTCCACGTCAAGCCTCTTAAAACACTGAGCTCCCATCACTGCCATGTGAACACCTCTGGACTTTTAACTGCTCAGACAAATGATCAACTTGGTTTCGTAATCAACACATCCAACAAACCGACTCGAGGAAACGCAGCTTCCAGCAAATGTCTTTGGTCAGAACGTGGCCCTTACCTTCTTCATTAGGCTGGCCTGGCCCACCTCCTTCCACGATAGCCGCCACCTCTGGAACAGAAATGTGGAATTCAATTTTCTTGGGACCGGCGGGGTGGGGCTGCTCAAACACATCAGAGGGCTGCAGCACTGGAGCGCTGAGGAAGGACAGCAGAGACAATCAGCACTTCTTCTCAACAACAGTCCAAAAAAATAAAAAATAGAGGAGCCTGCAATAAAACTGGAATCTGAGCAGCTTATGGTTTTGGGAGATTTCGTTCCGGTCAACCAGAGATATTTCCCCAGTTTGCAAATATGTGGCCTGGAGGCTGTGTGTGTGTATTTATAGTTCAAAAACACAGTTTGTGGTATATCATTAAGGGAGGGTGTGTGTGATGCTGAAACAATAAGCCTCCGAGCAACACCGGGCTGTCTTTATGAGGAAGACTTATTGTCTGGAGGTTTTTCGTCCTCCGTTTTTAGCTGCTGCCTATGAATACTGTCTCGAGATGAGCTGTGCGTGAGGACTGTGACATGCATGAGTGGCTCCGGTGTACCTCTGAGAGTCTGGTTTGGGAGCATAGAGTAGATCCTTGATCTTGGGCTTCTTTCTCTTTGAAGCTGTTTTTGGTCTCAAGGGTCTCTTGCATGCTTGGTTGACCAGGCCCATCAGACGAACAATCCTGAAATAAAGCAAGCATAGGGAATAAGGGAAAAATGTCTAACTTGGAGAAAAACAACAACAACAACCAAAAAAAAAAAAAAAGAGTGCCTGCCCATCCACTGGAATTTAAAGACGCTTCCTGTCAAGCCACTCGTGTCTCTAGAAACGCCATTACTGATGAACGATAGATTAACGCACAGTAAACAAGTTAGTCGATGGTCTGAAGAGAATGTTTGTGTTGACTCGAGTCCTCTCCAACATCGTTTTGCTCCTCACCTTTCTTTGTCCTCGTCATCTCCACTCTCGTACTCCGACTCCTCCTCGCTGGACAGCTCCATCTCCTCCTCCGGTAAAGGGGGGTATTCAGGAGGGAAGGGAGGAGGCATGGGGATGGGTGGAGCAGGAGGCAGGTGCTCGAACTGCAGGAAACACAAGTACGCCCATTAGCTCACCGACGAATCCTCCTGACCAGAGCCAGAACCGCTGCTTTTTAGCTTTTACATAAGAAACAATTGAAGAGCTTAAGAGATCCTCCCTGCAGCACCAAACATTATCCATCTTCTCACATTATGGATTATCAATTTTGTCCACTGCCTGCCTTCTGTATTCTCACAGCATTCGATTTTAAGAAATACGGTTGAATGCAAACTCTTATTTTAAGTTTAAATACATTATTTGTCTCTCTTTTCTGCTGCTAGCAAATACTGTGGTGACTACAAATGTTCCCCTCTGCAGCGCTTCCTGTTTACATGATTCTGTGATATTATAAACGGTGTAGAAGCCATTTGTGGTCCAATATTCACCACACAGAACCTGGAACCAGCACATAAACTCAGTATGGACTTTCCAGTGAAGTAGGACGAATCTGAATCTCTCATTCATACAGAGAAGGATGCAATATCAAGTATTTTCACCCAATCGCTTCATTGTTTTGGTGGAAAACCCCCATTAAACACTAATTATTATCCTCGTACGGTGGTTACAAACATTTGGCCCTCGTGATGCGAACGTTTCACTTTATTGTGTTCATAAAAACTGATCTTTATAAGAGTTAATACACGGCTGATGGAAATACCTTCACATCTAATGCTGCCTCACATCTGTGTACGAGTCACGTTTCTCCTAAAGGAAAATTAAGATGCTCTGCTGGTTAAAACACCATCTGCCCTCAGGTGCAGCAGTAGAACCACCAGGTTTATGAATCAATTTGATTCTTAAACGCATTAAAAGAAATAAACAAAGCAAAACTGGAACAACTTTAAAAAACACATTCACCGAGCTTATTCATAGGAACTCTTGTGAGCTCCAGTACAAGAGCTCAACTTCTACAAAAGCTTTTTCTGTTGACATCAGAAAGATGACATTTCTACTTCATGTTTGTTACAGAGGTCATTATTTTCAGACGAGTTCATAATGTTTTGCCCTCACCTTGTGACAAAACTGCATCATGCCCAACTTTAAAAACTGCTGGAACTTTAATCTTGATTGAGGTATAATGTGTCACTAAATACGATTATAAATGCAGCACTGTGGGGCTACAGAGAGCCGACGTTCATTATCTCCTGACATTAGGGAACAGGATTGCTTTGTACAAACTGTTGCAAAAATCCCACCATCACTTTTAGCTTTTTTTTAATGGAAAATAAATTGAAACATCCATCCATCCATTATCTATACATTAATCCTCACTGGGGTCATGGGGGGCTGGAGTCTATCCCAGCTGACTCAGGGTGAAGGCAGGTTCACCTGGACAGGTAACCAGTCTATCACAGGGCTACACTTAGAGACAGACAACCAAGCACACTCACATTCACACCTACGGACTATTTAGAATCACCAATTAACCTCTGGAGAACCTGGAGAGAACCCACGCTGCACGGGGAGAACATGGAGACTCCACGCAGGAAGATCCCGGGTGTCCTCACCGGGATGCGAACCGGCGACCTTCTCGCTGTGAGGCGACGGTGCTAACCACCGAGACTCCTTGCAGCCCTCAATGAAAGTGCAAATCCTTCCAAAGGCTGATGGTGAGTTTGTTACCTTCCGTAGCTTCTACAGGTGTAACGTTCTCAGTGAGTGGACTTGCAGTACTTTTACTGTCTAACTATTAAAACTAAGTGCAAAACACATTTGCTGGTTTTGGGGGTAAAAAAAAGTCCACATTTCACTGCTTGGACTTCAGGAAGCTGTGATGCTCACCCACTTGTTTACGCATGAAAGAACTTGAAGTCCTAAATTTTTATTTCTGGGTAAATAACTGCACTTTTGTCTGATAATTACAGTAAAGGAAAAGCAGACAGAGTCTTGAGTTAATGACCACACAACTCGGTGTTACTAACACAATAAGCTGCTGATTGTTGAGGGCACTCAGCGATCTAAACTGGGTTCTGGTTAACCTCACAAGTTGAATTCCTTCTTGCAAATAAACGATGCTTTCTGGCACATTTGAATCCCGGCTTCCTTCCCGAACACTTTTTCACCTGTTTTTAAAAAATTAAGAACAGTTACGTATAGAAGCTTACCGTGGGTGGTCTGGCAGTGACTGGGCCGAAGGGACACGGTAAATTCATCTTGTTCATCAGATGAAGTACCTGCGTATAATTGAGATACGTGCATGAGAAACGGTGCTCGTTGTATGTAAGGATTCATTCCACAAGCTGGGTGGGAGCTGGTAATATAAATATACTGCTGCTCTCAAACAGGCAGCCTGTAACTCGGGCTCCATATGTAAAACAGATTGCCAGGCTTTTGCATACAAATACAAGGATCAAGGTGAGATTGAGGCTGAAGTGAGATACCTACGCCGAGGCTGAGCGCCGCGCCGGCTCCTCTGCGACACGCTAGCACCACCAAGATGCTAACGCGGGAAGTAACAGCAATGAAAATTCAAGCAGCGCAGCTCCCAGGGAAATGTTAAACCCATAACTCATGCCTCCCACTTATGGTTTATTATTAATACTTGCTCCCCAAATTGAAATTTAAAAGGCAAATGTTTGCTGTTTGATCTTTAAGAGCTCTGGATGCAGTTCAAAAACCTCTGGGACACTTATTCCAGAATATTATTTCTATTTTACAAGATAAATCTGGAATGCTGTCACATTTGCATTTTTGGAGGAGGGGGGCAAATTTTTAAAAAAATGACCACGAGGAGAAAAGAAAAGACCCAGAAATGCACACACACGGACGTCAGACGATATAAAAGAAGCAGCATTTACTCACTTGCACGTAAAACTTTGGCACAGCTATCAGGGCGTGTGTTATATTTGTCAGTATGCCGTTGGAAGGTGGTGGGTATAAATATTTCAAAGTGGGATTTGATTGAAATTTCAACCTGCAGGAGAGAGTAGGAGAAAAAGTCGGCGTTAGAGAAACTCTGCAGCTGCAACTCTTTACCTTAAACACAACAACCGCTTCACTGATACGTGAAAACTGTTGAATATTCAACAAAAAAACACTCGATCCAAACTGAAACAGATTCTGCAGATAGCCTTAAACAGATGATAGGAAATTGTAATTGTTTAAAAAAAAAAAAGGAAGAATGCAGCACAAACATTTATCACACCTTTGAATTTATAAAATTAGAATCAGGGTTTCCAGATTAGGTGCTAATGATTAGAACCTCCTCAGGGAGTGACAGGTGGAGCCAGTTTTATTTAAAACCTCTTACATCTGGGGCTCTCTTTGCTTTTGAAGTGTGTGGTGTCACCATGCCAAGATCTGAAGAGCTCTCTAAGGCCCTCAGACAAAAAGAAAAAAAAAAGGTTGTAGATTAATTATTGCACTGTAAGGAAATTCATCTACAAGTGGTTTTAAACGGCTGCCAGTTTGTCCAGGAATGGAAGCAAATTCAGCCCAAGAGCAGACTGTTTGATGTAAAAAAAAAAAAAAAAAAGGAGTCTCCAAGAACCAAAATATTTCCAGAAATGATCTGCAGATGAACAAAAACTTTGACCTGCATGGGATGTGTGCCAGGGAAATGGCTTCTGGTGTCCAAAAGGAACATCAGAGCAAAACTACAGTTTGCCAATGAACATACAGACAAAGAGCAGGCTTTCTTTCTTTTTTTTTTTTGGAATAATGTGCTCTGGACAGACGAATCAAAGATAGATGTGTTTGATGCAGACCAAAGGAAGCTTTTCAGAAGAAAAAAACCACAAAGCAACTGTGAAATGATGGCGGAGGAAATGTTACGGATTTGGGGTTGCTTTGCGACCTCGGGGACCGGGCAGCTTGCAGTCGTTCGTTTAATTATCACTTTGCATCATATCAAAGAAAACCGAACACAATATGAGGCCATCTGTCCCAAAAACTGAAGGTGAACCAGAGCTGGACCTTTCAACAGGATCCCAACCCCACGGAACGGCTCAGAAAGAAGAAATGGGTGGTCCTGGAACGGCCGAATCAAAACCCAGACCTGAATCCTAATGACATGTTGAAACAGGCAATAAATGCAAGAAAATCCTCAAACATTTTGCACCTGAGAGAGTTCTGCAGGTAGTCCAAAGTTTCAGAAAGCTGGTGGATAATTATGCAAAACACCCACAGGAAATTATTTCTGATAACGCCAGGGGTGTGCTTACGTTTTCCACAGAACAATATTAGATATGTTAATTTTGTCTGTCGTTTACGGATGTTTTTGTTGAGTAACTGACTGAAAAAGCTCATCTTCCTTCCATGGGATGAACTCACTTTTTCACACGACCACATGTCAAAATAATAGACACGTCAACATGTGAGCTGAAGCCGGGTGTCTTCATCTCGACATGACAAGCCCTCGGCCAACGCGGTGGAGGATTCGGCCATTAAGGGGCGCTGGGAGCAGCGTGCCATGTCAGCACTGCAAGGCTTGTCCTCGTGTAATAACAACTTTCATAAGACGCCGGCCAGCACAGCATGAGAGAGCAGATTTAAACGTACCCCAGCTTAATAAGCAAAGGCTGAAGGTAAGGGTGTATTTTTTTAATTTGCCATGTATGTAGATGGTGACAAAGCCCGTTAGCTGCTGGGACAGAGGAGGACGGTGAAATCTCAGCAAAGCAGTGAACTAATTTACGGTCTGAGTTTTTATTGTTTTGTTATTTATCAAATGATTTTGTAAATCTGGATTTGATTGGTTGTTTGTGGGTCTGAATCGGAGTTTCTCAAAGTCTTTAACGAGACAAAGCCATGATGACGAGTTGTTACTGGCACAACTCATGTTCGTGATTTCCATCCATCCATTATCTATACACCGCTTAATCCTCACCAGGGTCATGGGGGGCTGGAGTCTATCCCAGCTGACTCAGGGTGAAGGCAGGTTCACCTGGACAGGTCACCAGTCTATCACAGGGCTACACTTAGAGACAGACAACCAAGCACACTCACATTCACACCTATGGACAATTTAGAATCACCAATTAACCTCAACATGTTTCTGGATTGTGTGGGAGGAAGCCGGAGAACCCGGAGAGAACCCACGCTGCACGGGGACAACATGGAGACTCCACACAGAAAGATCCACTGACCTTCTCGCTGCGAGGCAACGGTGCTAACCACCGATCCACCTTGCAGTCCTATGCTAGTGATATGATTTGTTATTAAGTAAGATTTTGCTCTGAAAGTCATAAAAAACAAGAAAATGTAGGGACGGAAAGCAGCACGTCTTTTCTTCTGCAGTTCAACACCAATTCTCCCACTTAGTCCAGTCTTTAAGTTGTGCCCCTTTTCAGCAACAACTGCAAAACAAATGGATTTTCTCAATATGGGACTTTTAATATAAGAGTAAATTGCAACATTCACAATTGCACTACTAACAATAATACACTAAAATGCTATGTTGCAGTGGATGTGGATGTGAAAAGCACAGAAAGAACAAAAAATTTAAAAAACGTTTCACACAAAATGTAAATAAATTTTCAAGGACATGAGCTGCATCCCTGATGTTATGTAAAATTAATGTATAAACATTTAACTAAAAGGTTTGAGCATCTCTGGCCTCAAATGCAAAAACAACACACGACAATGAAACGCTGTGATATAACGGTCAGAATACATCCCAAACTGAAAAAATATCAACATACATGCAATTATTCTTCTGAGCACTGTGATAAAATTCACAATATACCAAAAACAAACAAACTTAAATGTGCTTAAAACAGATTTATATGAATAAAACGGATAAAACATGGAAAAAGAACTGCAGCTAATGATCATTCTGACATCCTTTCATGTTCACAATAGATGACATTTCTTTTAAAGTGCTGATGGATGTATTATTTAGTTCGTAAAGTACAAAAAAAATGCAGCGTTTCTTCGAACCAAATGTCTTTTTTTAATAGAGTTTCAAACCTTTAAGACACAAGCAGAGAATAGAAAATCAGTTTTGGTTGACAAATGTGACCTCGTAGTGAAAATAATATAAAAGCGCACCAGATACGTCCGATCGGATATTCAGTGAATCCTGCATTCCTGCTCATTCCATCAGACCAAACTCAATATGCTGCTCCAACATCTACATCTCCTCGGTGAAAGTCGTACTTAGACTAGTTCAGAATGTGAATTTCTTAAGTGTGAGAGAAGGCAGGCTCGGTTGTTGTAGCTGCAGCAGGGCCGACTGTCAGTGTTAGAGCGAGAGGTATCAAAGACCACCTGGTCTCACCAACTGGCAGGACAGACGGCCTGTCAGGCGCTCAGTGGCGGCCTGGCTATCTAATTGGACACAAGGCCTCTGACAGCTCCAAACTACAGCTCTCAGATTCTCATCCAGGTTTACTGTCAGCGAGCCTCCAGGCAGTTTCTCCGGAGCCAAACTGACAACGCTCTGACCAGGGCTGGAGAACATGTGTCACGCATGCATATTTAATTGTATAGGGTAAAGTTTGGGTGGGCAGTGACTGACACGCTCCAAAACATGGGCGACAGGGCCTGTTACCGGTTAGTCTTACAAAACAGGGGAAGAACAAAGAGCAAGAATAATGCGCTGAGATTTTTAACCGAGGCACCAAGGTTTCAAAATTTTAGTAGGTGGTTTTGCTGGAGGTGGACTGAGAGGTTCATCAGCCAAAAAAAATACTAAAAATAGACGTTTCATTTGCTCGTATTACAGCAAAGCTTTACCACAACAGCTGCATTATGCATTCATTCTTACCCGAGGCTCGGTGCAACACCAGTTTCTATGAGGGGAATATTTGGCTCCTTGATTTCCTGTTTCTTCTGCTCCCCTTTGACTTGGGCACCGCTGTGGAAAAGTACAGTAAAACGTATAACAACATTAACAAGTCTGATTGTTTAATTAATTCTGTTTAATTCTTCCTATTCGGGCAACTGACCTGTCTGACACCGGTGGGTCCTTTAATACTGTGATGTGATCTTGGCCTTTCGCGAACTCTGCAATAAGTGTCTGATCAAGAACCTCTAACTGATGGATCCTGCTGAGAGCCTAAAAGAGATGTGACTGGGAGTGAACAGCAGAACAAACTGAGACGAAACCTGAGACGATAACGTCTATCGCCCTGGGTCTAGTACACAAGAAACAACGCTCACCTTTGCTGCCGACTTCTCACTTCTAAATGTTGCAAAGGCTGCGTGTTTCTGTGGAGATGGAACACAGTTCAGACTGAATGGCAACTCAAACATTTCAGGATGTAAAAGCTCACAAAGCATCCGAGATGTGCAACCTACCAGCCGACCCCTATTTGATAAGACCCTGACTGACTCAGCTCCGAAATATTTCAAGAGGTCTTCCTTCTCCTCCTGGGTGAGCTCAGCCGGTAAGTGGCGGACCAGCAGCGTCTTACTGCCATTTGTTTGGTCCGGCTCTTCATTCCTGTACATTTCCCTGTGGGACAGGAGAGAAATGCAAATATTACACAACACTGGGTTCTCGGTCAACCAGCAACAATCTCCTCCTGTTACCACTGCTGTGCTCTGTATAACAAGCACTGCTGAAATAGATTCCTCTACAGTCACATCTCCTATTTGGCCCTGAGCGATAAAAGGATGATGATATGCTAACCACCAGCAATATTAAAGTTGTTTGTTAGTTTCACCTATATGCTTAGATGTAAATCAACATGAAAGCACTTCTCAAAAGATTGGTTCCAGTGTAACGGTGTTTCCTCCCCTGTCATATCAACGCTGTGTCTCACACATGGAGCCCTTTAGCCCTCTGGCTCTCTCTCCCCTGGTGGACACTGCAGCATGCGAGGAAGCATGGTTACCTTTACAAGACGGGCTTTGCAGTCTAACAAACACGACCCTGTATCCTCCACCATCTCCACCTAAAGGACGCACTCCTGGCAGCCTGCTACGAAGGCTAACGGACTTCATGCAAGGGTGTATGTGGAACAGTGTGGCAGCTTCACCCTGGTCTCTCTTAGTTGGCTTCCAGGTTTTACGTTATTTAAAGTGTATCAAGGTGAGATCATGTCATTTATTTCTATTTATGTGCAAATTCACCTCTTTGTGTGTAATAAAACCATTATTTCTGTACCTTGATGAACGGCAATTCAAGGTAAGTGGTGGTTAAAATTCAGCTAAGTCTATCTTCTCTTGGTTTTTGTTAAAACAACAACAAAAAACAAAACAAGTCATTAAAGTGATCATCAATATGAACTGATATGAAACACTGCATTATGACCCATTTGCTCGCCCTCTCTCATGCTAACTGCTGTTCTAGTCTCTCTGTTATGTTGCTGCCCCACTGATGGCTTTGCTTGTATGAATATTCAATATCTGCACTTTGATAAATCATTTGTGTTTGCTAACTTGCTGCCAGCTTCCATGTGCAATGAGGGAAATACAACAATATCTCCCTTGAGAGGACAGTAGTTACTAGTCACTGGCTGTCAGAGAGGTGCTGCTTCAAACTGAACATTTTGAGCGCATAGCACAGGTTTTATTGGAAGGCTGCTGTACTGGACCGCGCTCTTTAACATATGTGTCCGCTGTTAAACAAGAGTTAGGGACCATTACAAACGTATTTCAGTGTAATATTCCTGATAAGCTACAAAGCTAGGTGATTAACAAGCTGTAAAATGATTCATTGGAAATGTGTGGGTTCTTTTTAAAAACGAGTGTTGCCGAATTCATTAATTAACCATGTTGATATCTCAGGTGACCACAGTCATGCTCTATAAGACTTATTACTTCGTCTTTAAACAAAACAGAGTTAAATTCAGGTTTCTTCCAATAGAAGGACCGCTCTACAACGGACTAGCCCCAACATTAGCTCACTGCCAATGCTGCACGAAGCTAACATGAAGTGAATTTAGGACTCGTCTGAGCAGTTTTATGTGCTAGCTCTTAGCCCGGCCGAGCTAAAGAGGCTACGTCCATGCAGCATAAAACTAACAGGTAACTATGGCCAACAAGTCAAACCTTAGTGAGCATGTTTGATAGCTACCTGTCTTCTGCAGCCGCCTGTAAACAAACACACTTCCGGTCGCGTCTTCTTCTCCGTACAGCGGCGCGGCTGTGAGCGCCACTGCCACCGTGTGGCCTGGAGGAAGCGCCGCACAGGCTGTAACTGGGAATATTTTACTAACTGAATTCTAATGTTCCATTTGAACAGTAGACTTAAATAAAATATAAAGAGTAAAAATATAAGGAAACTCACTGCTGTTTTGTTTGATATTATACTCATGTGTGACTTATGAAGTCTTTCCTTAAATGTGCTGGTGGTCGTTGCTCATGGTGAACAGTAGAAGAACGAAACGCTTTATTAAACACATTATCATAATTAATATGATTACGATTATTATTATTGTGTTTATTCTAATGTTTATTAGTACTACTACTAGTATAATAAAATAAAACTTAATTCAGAAGAATTACGTGTTTACTGCCCTCCAGTGGCCATAAAACAAGCATAACAAGCATTGCAGTGTATAATTATTACTATAATTATTTCATTTTATTCCTTTACTCAGGGAGAATAGTCCCACATTTGTAATGGGATAAGGAAGCCCATCAATCTAAATATTAATACAGAGGAAGTGCTGTGACGTGAAATAAGAGTGGTGGTAGCAGTAGAGCTCATAGATATATAGAAAAAGGCTTTTATTATATATATATCTATGTTAGAGTGAGCTTAAATGGACTTAGATGAACCTCCTTAGAGTTATTAAATATTTATCTTGCTAATAAGGTTTTCTGAAAAGTAGCTGACTGAATAACTGACTTTATTTATTTATTTCCATTAAATGTTTTATGTACAAAGCACTAATCGACAACATATATCATCTCATAGCACATAGTAAGGTGAAGACCTACGCATTGTCCTTATGCAAACTGTTCTCCCTAGTCTCAGCACAACCGCAAAATTGTGCCTTTAATTCAGCGTTCAGACACACAACAGCAGCTTTTTTTCCTCCCCTCACATTCATAAATATAAATTCTTACACATTAAACCACTTTTTCTTGTTTTGATCAAAGGATTAAAATCATACATTTCGACCATTTCTAATAGCACCAACTCCAAAACAATTAGATCCTATAATGAGTTTTTAAACTGTACTGTCTTTCTTTCTTTATCTGTAACAGTGTTCTACCCTGGAGTGTTTGTTCTAGGGTTTAGCATTCTTGTTTTATCTTTTTATTTGTTTATGTCTGTTCTTGTTTCTTTCTTTCTTTTCTTTCTTTCTTTTTTTTTTTTTTACAATTATTTTTTTGATATTTGTTATTTTGTCCAAATTCATATCAACCTTATTCAACAAAAGCTGTTTTGTAAGGACAGAATGTATTTTTGTACCGTTGTACACTTTATAAATAAAGTTATAATTATAAATAAAGTAATAAAAAAAAGATAAAACAACAGAGCGTTTTTCTCCACTTTGACTTCCGTGTCAGTGAGATGCCTCGTTCCTATTGGCCGAGCCGTCATACGTCATAGTGCGCAGGGTCAAAGTTCAACAAATTCAAACTTTGATAATTTGAACACTTCTCTGTCCAATTGTTTATGCTGTTTGATTAATTCTCTATGTGCACATTCATTGGTAATTAAAGTGCTGTTAAAAAATAAAAAATAAAACTTTGACAGCGGCGAGCCTGCGGTCTCCGACCGACGCACAGCCAAGCAAATAGACATGAATGTGTTTCGGAGCGGAGTCGCGTCCTCCGTGAAAGCCGCTTAACGTCTTCACCTTGCTGTTGTGGAGTGCTATGAGATGATGTTGTGAATTGGCGCTATATACATAAAACTGAATAGTGCTAACTCTTGCTGTGTACTGGCCAGGCTAGTGCTAATGCTTGTTGTGTACTTGCAAGGCTAGTGCTAATGCTTGTTGTGTATTAGCAAGGCTAGTGCTAATGCTAACTAGTTAGCACGGGACAAATACACTTTGGCTGTGTTTGCATCAAACTGAAAGCTTACAGTTTAAGAGGATGGTTTCGTGGCATCGCTGGAGGTTTGAAAAACTATTTTGCTCGCTAACCTGCTACTCCCCGGGAGCCGTGCGCCGAGACCCGCTGCTAGCGCTGTTAGCTCGTTCAGGTCGCTGATGGCGGTGAGTGTATTCAGTGGTTGTGCACTGCCCTCTTGTGGCCACTACAGGGAACTGCAATACTGTATATTAGTCAAGCTAGCGTCAATGCAGCGACTAGCGAGACTTCCGGTGACTTCCTACAGTGACCCAACTAATGCAATAACAAACAAAGAAATTACCAGGATATTCCTTTAATTGTTCACTACTGGTCACCAGACTACAACTCAATGTCTTTATTTTAAAGTAGCAGAGATATTAGTATTTGCTATTAATATTTTAAAGAGGTATTATTAAATTTACTAAGTTGCCGGTATAGTTGTATAGTTTATTATAGTGTGCATGACAGGAATTTGGACGCTTATCCATTAGTTTGAACAAAAAAAACCCCCAAAAAACAGTGATGTGTTTGTTTGTAATGTGTTAAACTGTAAGAGTAGGACTTTTAGGAGTTGATCCCCACCAGTACTTTAAACATTAATGCTCATAAAGTTGTGGTAAGGATGTAAACTCTGTAGTTGTAATTTCTTCAATGGGTCCATCAATTTAAAGTTAACTGGCAACAATCAAAGCAGTTTGTAAACAATCAAAAATAATTTCTTTATGTGTACAGCTAGTAACAAGTCTGTATGGATCAAAATAACTTGGGAGCTGAGATGGGAAAGTTCCTCTTCTACCTGTAGGGGAAAGATTTAATGTTTTGTTTTGCAATAGTAAATTTTACCCATTCATACTCCAGGTCCTCCCCAACAACAGAAAAGAAAGAAGAATAAAATAGACATTGTTCTCGAGGGGGGTCTTCTTACCCCAGTAACATTTCTGATAGTCGTGTCAGGAATGTTAGTGGCATAAAGTGTGCCTATTCCCTTCCTAAATGAGTAAAGCTGTGCACTGTGTAGTGTACTGAAATAAAAAGCCACATGCCAGTTGTTGTTTTCCACCAGCAGGTGTCAGCCTCTCCATATGAAACAACAGCTGGCCAGCTGTAATGACTGGCATGTCACACTACTGTACGCAGGCTCAAAACTCACCTTCAGTTAGCCCCAATCTACTATGATGTATTATTGGATAATTATACACAACTAAGAGTTATACGACTAATTAAAAAATGTCCCCTTGATTGTACAAAATAGTTCACAAGTAGAGAGTTCACCAGAATGAAAGAAGACCACTTTGAGCCCTGTGTTGACTTTCTGCTGGATTAATGTTAATCTCTCGGTATAGCAGAGGCAGAATACCAGTAATGGACGCTCTGTCCTTCTCCTGTCCAGGCTTTATGAAGGCCTTCAGCTTCCCATCCCCACCCCCGAGAAAATCTCCCCTACACTTCTCGAGATGCCTCCAAATTCCTGGCCAAATGAAGCCTTTTCTTTGACTAGCAACGCAAGGGCATTCCTCATCAGGGGGACACAATACCCCCTTTCAGCATGGCCTGGCTCTGAAATTTCACAGGTGATGGGAGGAACGGTAGACACTCGATCCTCCTTCCTCCCTCCGACGTAACACATCGGGCCGAGCGAGAGGGAAAGGGAGAGAGATGCTGCTCGGGAATGTGGGGAGAGAGAGAGAGAGAGAGAGAGAGAGGGGGGCAAAATGAGCCGAGTGTGATGGAGGAGTGACTCAGTTGCCATCGACTGGGCTGAGGGCATCTTTTGGGGAATAAAGCTGCTGTGTTGTGCCAGTGAAATCAACAAATATGACAACTTTCCTGACAAACATGATGCTTTTCGTAGCAGTGGAAGGTGACACTGAGCGCTATATCTCATTCTTAATGAAAGCTCCAGCCCTCGTAGAGGTTTAAGGACAGAGCTGGAAAACAAAGGGGTTGGACCGTGGAGGGCAGGAGAAGAGTGACAACTTAGTTTCAGGTGGCAGAAGAGACAGACGAGGGGCTGTTACTGCCTCTATAGGCGAGCTGGGGTAGTGATGGAATCCTAGAAAAGGCCTCTGCTTCTGTCAGCAGGACATTATAAAGCACGACATGATGGATGTCGATGCTTGCATTGGTCATTTAGCTGAGTGACAGAAACGTACTCAACTGGCTCCAGAATCAGTGTTTTGTTTCAGTCAATGTGCTTCAGAGACGCTTAACAGCCCTTTTTGTAATTCATCAGAGAAACTAATTGCGCCATTCAACACAATGTAGAGACAACATGTTCCATTCAAACAGCTATCTGTGAGAGATTTATTTCTTTAGAATTTTATTCAATCAACTGCATGCTTTACTTCCTATACAGCATTTTGTCCCCCAGAATTTCTCATTTGACTCAAGATCTTACTTAATGAACTTAAAAGGACTGGACTTACATCATCTTCTGCAAGGTCAGACCTAGAAGTGGTATCATTTTTTATTTCTATTAACTAATCATTGCTAAAGCCAGGGATCGGCTGTATTCTCGTTGAGACGAACACCAAAGAGGTGGATCTCTCTGGACACTTTTTAAGCCATCAGTGGTGTCACATGCTGACGGCTTCCCCCGGTCGCCCAATGAATCAGATCAATTGGAGCTAAGCGTCAGCTGTGTTCTGGCAGCAGCTCACCAAAAAGTGCTCTGGCCCAGTAATGGCGGCTGCCAGGTTCGGTGTGTGTGTGGACGTGGGCCAGGTTAGGCTGAGAATTGGCACACTTGGACCAACCACGGACCTGGTTAGGTTTCAGCACCCAGAGTCAGGCCAGCGTACCTGAGCCAAGTTATTTTTTCTGGCAGGCTGGATTTAGGCTATTATTATTGGGGCCAAACCATTTTGGGTACCGAGGCGCTCTGGCAGGGGCGGCGCAGCGGTTACAGTTGTGTCCAAACGATTAGCAAATGTGCAAAAATGTCAGGTTCATTAAGAGCAGTCACAACTCCAGGATGTCTCCCCGCTGGTGGGGTTGGGAACTCAGGCAGGGGGTGGACTCTGAGAGGGATCATATGAACCTCTGCTTGTGTTATCTCTTCCTGTTGCAGCAACTTCTTTCATGAAATACTGTCCACACACCTCCCG